TCGTCAAGTTTCGTCAGACGAAACCATTGACGAAACCATTTCGTCAGCGCCAAATAGTTTCGTCAGGCATCATTAATTCGAATACTATCAAAAATCAGCAAAAATGGGATATGCTGTTGGAACATATAATGTTGCATATTGTTATCATTATGGAATCGGAGTAGATAAGGATGAACAAAAAGCCTTCGAATACTATCAAAAATCAGCAGAGATGGGATACGCTAGTGGTGTAACTAATCTTGGTCATTGTTACGAAAATGCATTTATTTATTATCAAAAATCTGCTAATATGGGTAGTGATGATGGAATGTATAATGTTGAACATTGTTATGAAAAAGGAATCGGAGTTGAAAAGGACGTGCATAAGGCATTCATTTATTATCAAAAATTAGCAGAGATGGGACATGCTGCAGGAGCATTTAATGTTGGTAATCATTATCGTAACGGAATCAGTATTGAAAAGGACGATTGCAAGGCATTTGAATATTATCAAAAAGCTGCTGACTTAAGAGAAGTTAGTGGAATTTCGTTTGTTGCTCGATGTTATCGAAACGGGATTGGAGTAGATAGAGATATACAGAAAGCCAATTTCTGGTATCAAAGGTATAAAATATCTTTCGTTAAATTATGTTTAAAAATATTTATTTTAATTAAATAATTAAACAATTAGATTAAAATGTTAAATTGTTAATTTAATTGTTAGTTTTTCTTTTAAATTTTAATCTTTGTTCTAGTTAAATATGACTACGCATTTAAACAATCTGGTGTCGATAAATATTTGAAAAAAATTTTGATCGAACACTGATGTCAATTACCATGGATTCCTTATGATGAATTTAAGAATATTGTAAAAGTAGGAAAAGGTGGATTCGCGGTTGTACACTATGCCCGCTGGATTGATAAGAGCAGAAATTTAGAACAATCTGTCGCTCTTAAAACGCATCATACGTATGATATTGATCAATTTATTGAAGAAATAAAAGCATATAGTAAAATCTCAGAGGCTAATCCATCATTTTTGAAATGTTTTGGAATATCAAAAAAACTATAAAGGGAAATATATTCTTGTTTTAGAATATGCTGCTATAGGACCTTTGAGTAAAAATCTTTATAATATATCGCAGATGGACTGGAAAAAAAAGTTAAAAGTGTTACATTGCATAATTTTTGATCTTGAAGCAATTCATTCACAAGGATATATTCATCATATTACAAGATGATTTGGATAATGCATATATTGCAGATCTAGGGCTCTCATCACCTTTGAAAAATGAAGACGAAGGTATTGTCGTCGTCTTACCTTATATCGCCCGAAATTTTGGACAAAGGTCAATATACTACAGCATCAGATATTTATTCATTTGAAATGATAATGTGGGAAATTTTATATGGAATGTCGATATCTTATAATCAAAAGTTTGCTACGTCGCAACTTCCAATTCAAATATGTTGTAACGGTTTAAGACCTCCTATTAATGAAAAAGCACCACAATGTTACGTAAATCTAATGAAAGAATGTTGGGATAGGGATCCAGAGAAACGACCGCCGACGAAAAAGCTTTGCAACATTTTAAATAGATGGCAAGATGATGAAAATATTTTATTAGAATTGAATAGATCTGAGACAAGAATTGAAAATATCGAAAAATTGTATTCGATTATGTTTAGCGGAGGAAGTAAATTTATATCTAAGTCAATTTTAGACGTGAATAGCGAATTGCAATTTGGTATTTATTTATTTTAATAAACAAGTATTATATTTAACATATACACCGATCATGCCGAAATCAATAAACAGAATAGAGAATGAATAATGATTAACGTTAATTCTATTTTGTTGACAATAAAATATAATGATTATTTTTATATATATGAATAAAATTCAACACTTACCGTCTATTAGTTTAGTATAAGATAGCAGAATAGAGAATGAGTAATTAATAGTTTATTCTATTTTGTTGATAATAAAATATAATGATTATTTATATATATATGAATAAAATTCAGCACTTCCCGTCTATTAATTTAGTATAAGATAACAGAATAGAGAATAAATAATTAATAGTTAATTCTATTTTGTTGAAAGGCCATTGTTCTGTAAAGTCGAATTTAAACTTTTATAATTTCAGAATTTATAAAAAATTAGAAAACATGATAAATGTTAATAAAGGAAATTCGTATTTTAACTCAACTTACGGCTGCTCTTCCTTTATCAATTAGTGCCAAGATTATTTAAACAAATATTTAAGGCTTTAATAGCAGCTTTTCTATTTAAAATTTCTGCCAGTGTTTTCACTATTTTGTTATGGACTGTATTATTAAATCTTATAAATTTGAGATTTTTACTTGTATAAGCATTGAAATTCTATTGCTTGAACCACATTATCATAGGCTTCGTAATCTTCATTTTTAGTATACAGGATAACGAGAAATATATCTTTCATTAACAAGCCAACGTGTAACAAAAAGATAAAGTTAACAATGGATGTAGTACACGTTATGTAATCGAACATTACTTGTTCTTCAACATTTAATAATGGTAAAAGATATACTTTTATAATTCTTGCATCTCTAAAATAATTCAGTGGTCTACTCCATAATATTGGTACAAAATTTTTAAACCATTGACAGTTTACAAGAAGGTATGAATACAAACTTTTATAACAATCTTGTAAATTATTAAAAATCTCAAAAAGACATTCATTTAGTATTGCATCATCTTTGAAAGTTTAATATTAAATTTATACACTAGTGTCAAATGTCTACGTCTTACTAGTGTTGTGCGTCAACTAAATAAATCAACTCTATATCAGGTTACCTTAACATTCAATTATTAATAAATTAAATGAAACAAAATTTCTTTTAGATGCACAGCTCAAAATTTTCTTTTCAAAGTTTTCTAAAAACTAAACGTTTCTTACGCAATACTGTTACAAAGTTACGAAGCCTTCTTTTAATATTATAATCATTTAGTCCAAATCCTTTATTTTTGTTGTAAGTGGGAATGGAATAGAGTTCGGAATCCACTTAGATTAAAATGGAATAATATAAAAAATCCCAACTGTAACCTTAAAATTCAGAATCAACATAAATTCTGTTCCCACTTACGACATATATAATCGATTTTGACTCATTTACATATTTGACGTGGCAATTAACATTACCTCCTCGGGGGTTATCTGAAATGATCTGTGACTTGTGTAGCCGACGACGTTTGGTCGCCGGCCGCACTGGATTTACTTATTTCTGCAAGTGATACAAAACCAAAAAGGAAATTTTCATTTCGCTCTCTTCAGCTCCAGCCAATAACCGAAGATGATCAGTAGGGCTTAAGATCTGCGACAACGTTTCAAAACTTTTTGAGGTCAAGATTATCAATAAGTTGACATGCAGGTGATATTTTGTTTTCTAAAATAATTTATTACATCGTAGACTTAATTATTTCATTCGTCGCGATTTATGTTCACTTTCGCTTTAATATTATCGATATGAGATGTTAACTGACGTTTGCGACGAGCTTATCTCTTTCCTAATTCACTTTTTCGGCTGTTCTTCAGTTATTAAACTTTTTTTTGCTTTTCCATTTTGACTAAACTAAAAAGAGAACATGGCAATGTTTTCTTTTACTTCGATAACATATTTATAACAATATAAATTCTTATTTTTACCAATAAACAATTCTTTTTTATTAAAGTCGGTTAATGTATTCTATTAAAAGTCAGCTACTATATTTTACGTGTAATTTATTAAAAGTTATTTAATATATTCTTTTAAAAGTCAGCTACTATATTTTACGTGTAATTTATTAAATATATTCTATTAAAATTCAGCTACTATATTTTTCGTGTAAATGATTAATAGTCAGTTAAGATATTCTATCAAAAGTCAGCTGCTATATTTTACGTATAATTTATTAAAAGTCAGAAAATATATTCTATTAAAAGTCAGCTACTCTATTTTAAACCATGAATTCGGTATCCAAACGTTGAACCTGATTTAGGTTCAATTTCTGGATACACGACTTAAAATTTAGATCAGAGTAACCGGGAACCGGAATAGCTTGAAAGCTTTCATTTCGTTTCCCTCAGCTCCAGCCAATAACCGGGAACCGGTCATTTCCAGTAATTCGTAGAGTATAACTTGAAAGCTTTAACTTCGCTTCCCTCAGCTCCAGCCAATTAAAATTTATCTTAGAAATTGAGCAAATTAACATTTTTAATAATTGACACAAATCCATAAAAAAAAAACAAAAAAATTAGATGAATTTGAAGAAAATTAATATCATTTAATGTATTATATAGATTGCTATATAATTATTCTTAAACTTCGTTCAATGAATTTATGTTATTAGCATTATCATCATTATCATCAGTGATTTCAGGCTCAAGTTCTTTGTAAGAACCATCATTTTCCATATATCTATTGCGTGTTTTATGTATTTCTCAAGTAAACTTGTATCAAGATAAGACTCTCTTAATAAACTTTTCAATACAGTTACCCTATCTTCTGCAGTAGCACCATCAGGAATTTTCGTGGATCGTCAATTAATGGAATTCCAGCTCTAGAGACATATCGCCCTGCAAATTGTTTTTTAAAACTTCGTCTGAATGGCCGCCAACATGGACAAGATTGACATAAACCCCTACACATAAAAGATTGAGAATTTATGAAATATAAATTTTAATAAAAATGCAGATTTAATAAATTGCTACAAACCATTAGGGTAGCTGCGCAGCGTGTGACGCGGCGCAGGACCAGTACGATCACTTACGCCGTTGTGAAAAGCTCAAGGAA